TAACAAAACACCAATTTTATGAGAAACTGTTGTTACTGATTTTAATCGAAAAGCACGATGTTTCGACAAGTATCCACGTGTCGTTAATAACAATTGTTAATGTTTTCCTGAATCTGCTACATGCCACTGAAAGATTTCTACCTTCTAATAGTTGTTTCTTCTGTCAAAGAGTTAATACATAAACCTAGCCCTCCAATCAGTAATGGCGGGTTTGATGGCCGAACGGTTAGCACATGCGCGTTGTTTCATAAGGTCTGGCATCGAGTCAACTGGCGCGGTTTCAATTCCGCGGTTGTGCTTGACAAGGAATAGGGTCGCCCGCCAACCTCGTGGGTTTTCTCCGGGTCTTCCGGTTTCCTCACACTGCTTAAGACCCCTACGCGCAAGCGGATTATTGAGAAAAAAAATTGAACAATATGTTAGTCCCGAAATGACCTAGTTTTGTCGAGTGGAGTTAAACCCACTCTCTCTCTCTCTCTCTCTCTCTCTCTTTCTCTCTCTCTCTCTCTCCAATCAGTAATTGGTACAAAAATCTGTCGAGGCAGCCTACAATATCCAAGATTCGACTGCTTAAAATGAATTGAGATAATGTTTTCTGTTTTTAAAGACAAATCTTTGTTTAATAAGACGAATCGATGTCCCTCGTTTGTTGGTCCATTAACTGGTGTTTATTTTGTATTTTCCTATGTGTCAGATGTTGGTTGAGTATTGCTCAGACTACATCATATATAATCCCGACAAACGGTCCGCTCATTTATTTACTGTTCCACCATCGCTTGTTTAAAGTCCACTATGAATATACTTGATGCAGTCTTTGTGACTTGTATTGGACTATATATTTCCACTGCTGAGGTTGCATCCGTTGGTATGTACATTAATATCATAAAACACGATCTTTAAATGCGACACTGAGTCCCGGGGTTGCGGAGAGGGCATTTTATTTATTATGGGGCCGTGCCATGCCCTTTGGACGTGTCCATTCACTGTGGCGTTGGCTCCAGCTCTCCACCCCAACCCCACCCCCATTAGTGGGCTCGATCATAAAACCCCAAACCAAGTACTATGAGAAATAAGAATCCCAAATTTAACGAGGCTCTGTATTTAAATTAAAGTCTCCCAAAACAGAAACAGATTGACCGAATAACAATAAATAGATACTATTCAAAACAAACGAAAAAGAAAACGAAACAAAAGATGTGTGAAATATGCAAATGAAACTTGGCAGCATTTACATAGTATGAATTGTATTAAAGGGGGCGGGCGGATACATGACAACTAAATAAGTACACGATTCATAAAAAAGATGTAAACGATAGCTAAAAATGTGCACACTGCGACTGTACATTATACTTAAAAATGTACAGAGAAATTAAAAATGTACTTAGCAATTAATAATGTACAGAGCAATTAAAGATGTACAATGTACATAGCAATTAAAGATGTGGAACAAACTTTCGAAAAAAAAAACCAAATCCAGCTCAAACTATGCAGCATTTAAGAAAAACCTTAAAACTGAACTTTTTAATCATGCTTTTAAATAGTGTGTAAATAGTGTTTAAATTGCTTTATTCATCATAATTCATGTAATGATTTTATTCGTATTTGCTAATTAACTTTTAAAACTTATATATTTTTTAAATTTTGAGTAATCTTAAGCCTTGTGTTTTTTTTGTTTTTTTTTTAAATCGTATATGGTTTTTAAAATAATTATAAATTTAATATTTAAAATTAAAAATGTATTTTTAAAGTATTTATCTTGATGTAAAACCAGCGCCACTGAGCAGCTATACTAGCTGGAACGTGTGCGCTTTATAAATGTATTAAATTATATTATTATATTATTACATAGCAATTAGTACATAGCAATTAAAGATTTACATAAGATTTACAGAGCAATTAAAGATGTACAATGTACATAGCAATTAAAGATGTACAATGTACATAGCAATTAAAGATGTACATAGCAATTAGTACATAGCAATTAAAGATTTACATAACAATTAAAGATGTACATAGCAATTAGTACATAGCAATTAAAGATTTACATAACAATTAAAGATGTACATAACGATTAAAAATGATTGCTTGGTAGACTACAGTTTGAAGATATCTCTTTTTGGGGCAATAAAATTCTTTTTTAAAAAGTATGAAAAAATTAAAAATTAAAAGTGTACATAGCAATTAAAGATGTACATCATAAAGATTTACATAACAATTAAAAATGAGTGCTTGGTAGACTACAGTTTGAAGATGTATCTTTCTGGAGCAATAAAATGCTTTTTTTAAAAAAAGTAAGAAAAAAAGATGCTAATAAGGCACTTTATTTTGTCGCATGTTTATCCAGTATTTTGTCGCATGTTTATCTGGAATTTTGTCGCATGTTTATCTGGAATTTTGGGAGCCACGGTAGCTAGGTGGTTAAGACGCTGGCTTGCTAGCCTGGACGTCACGTGTTCGATCCCTGCATTGACCGAGAAAGTTCATTGGGATTTTCCGACGTGGTTTCACCTTGACAGTGGTACAGAACGGAGGGCCTGACAAGGATAGCTGTCTAGTCCTTCGGATGATACGAAAAACCGAGGTCCGGTGTATACATTGGAATGCAAGTAAAAGATCCCTTGGCAGTTGGAATTCGATATAAGAGTAGGCGATAGTGCCGCTGCCTGGGCAGAACAGTAGGACGTTAAACCCCATTTAATTTCATTTATCCGGTATTTTGTCGCATGTTTATCCAGCATTTTGTGGCATGTTTATTCAGTATTTTGTGGGAGGTTGAACCAGTATTTAAGTGCACGATTCCACTCATATAATTATTCCATTCATATAATTAATCAACTCTTATATAATTAATATTTCGTTATAACGAATTAGTATTTTGCTTAAACGAAATAATTATATAAGATCCGATTCATGCACGACAAATTATAAGAGTGGAATCGTGCACTAAAGGGGCTCCTTATAAAATTTGAACTACACAATTTCTGGGGGGGGGGGGGGTAGATGGCTGAATGGTTAGCGTGTCATTGAGTCGACTGGCGTGGTTTCGAATCCCCGGTTGTACGTGACAAGGAGTAGGGTCGCCTGTCCAACCTCGTGGGTTTTCTCCGGGTCCTCCGGTTTCCTCCCACTGCTTAAGACCCCGATGCGCAAGCGAATTATTGAAATAAAATTAAACCATATGTTAGTCCCGAAATGACCTAGTTTGTGTCGAGTGGATGTTAAACCCCATTTCTCTCTCTCTACACAATTTCTGTAATTTAACTTACAAATTATATTGACATCAATATTTTTATGTTGAGAATTGATTCAAGTTCCTTAAAATGTACATTTGAATTGTGTTTTATTGAAAATCGAATAATCCTCATCTCGTGGTAAACATTATATTAATATTAAAAATATAAAATATGAATATTTTCCAAATTAGTTTGAAATCAATTCAGATCTATGTATGTCCGATCAATTTCCCTTTTCTATCATGAACAGGGATGGAAAAAAAACGGATATTAATCTATAGAATTGTTTGCAAAGAGAGAGAGGGAGAGAGAGAGAGAGAGAGTGAGAGAGAGAGAGATAGAGGGGAGAGAGAGAGAGAGGGAGAGAGAGAGAGTAGAGAGAGAGAGAGAGAGAGAGGGAGAGAGAGAGAGTAGAAAGAGAGAGAGAGAGAGAGCGAGAGAGAGAAAGAGAGAGAGCGAGAGCGAGAGCGAGAGAGGATAGAGAGAGAGAGAGGGGGAGAGCGAGAGAGAGAGATAGAGTGTGGGTGAGGGTGATTGAGAGAGAGAGAGAGGGAGAGAGAGAGAGAGGAGAGAGAGAGTAGAGAGAGAGAGAGAGAGGGAGAGCGAGAGAGAGAGAGATGGGGTTTAACATACCCTCGACACAAACTAGGGATTATTTTATGACTCAATCTCATTTCAATAATTCTCTTGTGCGTAGGGGTTTTTAGCAATGGCAGGAAACATGGGCACATTGAACAAACCCACGAGGTTGGACAGGCGACGCTACTCTTTGTTTGTCACGTACAACCACAGAATCGAAACCATGACAGTTGACTCAATGATAGACCTTATGATACAACGCGCACATGCTAAGCATTCGCCCCCCGCCCCCCGTTCGCAAAAATACACACCCACAAAGATAACATGATATAACATAATATAACACAATGATGGGTAGTGATTGGTCACCACTTCCTGGAGACACATCAATTTGCTGTTTACACTATTTTGCCTATATCGTTTTTTTAGGTCTCGGAATTTTTTCAAATGGTTTGGATTGTTCGTACTTGGTTTTGTTTTATCTAGTCAAAACAAGACTTTATCTTTTCCATTCTTCTCTCTTTTATCTGATCTCATGTAAGTCAATTCTTTTTATAAGTAGTGTTCACCACTCTTTACTTCAATCGGTAACAATAACTCTTTCCTACATTGGCGTTAATTCCGGGTTATTCAATTCTTTGTTACCAATCAACCATAGTAGACTAATACTTTTATCTTGACCTAATTTAACTGATATTTTTTTTTATTGTCTACTATTTTGTGGCGTTTCCGGCTCTTCCTGTACTGTTATTTCTAATAATGACGATATTTAGATATGGCATTCTGTAAACAAGTATGCCCAAGGAGAATAGAGGTTGTTCTCTATTATTGGACGCCGAACAGGTTCCCAAGTGCTACTCATATTGTTGCTGGGTGAGGCGCAAATTCAAGAGCGATCGACTAGAAACTTTGCATGATGTTCCGTGGACGATTGCAAACTTCTGGTTTGGGTTTTACGTCATGGCGGCGATGACATCGGATATTAAATATTTTGATAATTGACCATCTATTTTCTATTGTCGCGATCTTGCTCCTTTTCATTATGGGTGTAAAGCGACATAGAAATTCTAACTGAATGTACAGCACAGCACCAACACTATATTCATAATACTCAACGACTGTAAAATATATATCGTGACTCAACGAGAATTAAACATAAAACACTCGGTATCGTTCTTTATTTGTAGGAATCCCATGCGGTTATGTATTTTGTTTAAATGAGACTGGTATAGCGTGTCTACCTGATCAGAGTGTTTGTGTATGTCCAGACGGTTTATATGGTAATGGAAGATTTGCCTGTATTAATAAAGGTTAGTAACTTAAACCCATGTATTCCTTTATCACTGATTGGTAATATTCACGAACAAACTGCGAAAATAGATTTATTGCTCGAACAGTTTATTTCGCTCGGGTTTGTTGTATATTGAGGAATGAAATGGGATTCTAACTTCAGACCGGTATCAAGATAATTATGCACGTGCTATTAACTGGTTGTTACCCTTCACCGTCATATTGCTAAAAGTAGTGGTTGTAAGGTTAAAATTTATCGGTAGCACAGTGAAAATAGCGCATTAACTGGAGGTCCAGGGTTCGACTCCGGTATAGTCGGAAAAAGACCTCAGGAATTAGTCCACTGCCCCCTTGTCATTTGTTTAGGGCGGTTCAGAGTCTGACAAGTAACAGAGTCTAGTCGTTTCGACGGGACGAAAACCGAAAGTCGCGCAGATATCACTGGCGGCACGTTAAAGATCCAGTGACAGTAAGTTCTTGAACAAACGAATATTATGTCCCCAGGAGGGTATACAGACATGTAAGTCATTAAACTCCATTTCATCTGCTTGGTTATTTATTCATTTAGAGCATATTAACCAGGGGCGGATCCAGGAATTTTTGCAGGAGGGGGTTTGCCAGGTTCGTTAGAAAATGTATCCCCCCCCTCCCTCGGCTTGAAATTTTTTGAGAAATAAATGGTCTCTATTGTCAGTTTGGCGTATATACATACACATTGAGCTTTTTAAACAGAGAAATCCAACATCCTGTTTGACGTCAATTTTTATTATGAATTAATAGGATGACATTGTGATTCAATTTAATTATTGATGCAAAGCATTAATTTTGATATCACATATATCATTATCTCGCGCTTTGAGTGCCCATCCTGTCGCACCATCTGACGATAAAGGATAAAGCACAATTATGACACTTTTCTCACAAAAAATGTTGTTTTACAAAAAAAAAATTTGTGTAGCTGAGCGGGGAGGGGGACCCCCCCAAACCCCCCCTCTGGATCCGCCCCTGTTAACGTTAGTGTTATTTGTCTTGGCAAAACGGAAATATACTTTGTAAGTTAAACTTGATTTCTTGCAACAAATATCCTAATAAAACTTGAAATAATCCGAATTCAAATAAACAAAAACGAAACACAGATTTGTGTAGCTTTTTGTCGGTACAGTTTCTTGTTAGCATCATTAGTGCCATCGTCAATAGAAGGCTTTATTTCGCTTTAGCTCCGTACATCTTACCAAGACCTTCACGTAATACCCTTGCCTATTTCAGCAATAATTTCGATTAGGAGCCTATATACCAAGTCTCGAGCCGTCCAGCTAAAATGTCTACCTGTGATAATCTAGTTGCAAAGTTCAAGGTTCGTTCAATGTCAAGGTTTCCGTGGAGGGGAGGTAGCTATGTCATAACCTCTGGTTGGACGCTGCTGATCACGTGTCTGCAGATAACGTAGCTATAAGTTCTGGAATTGTTAAATAATCTAGCAACGTCCAGATGTTGTTAAACCCACAGTCGTTGCTTCAGGAACATGGCTGTAGTGCTTAAAGTGACTTTGGTACCACAACCAAACTATTAACTATTGATTTCTCTTGTAGCCACTCAGAGTCTATGCACCATATATGGAGATCCACATGTGATATTATTTGACCAAGCCAAACTTTCCGTGCCACTACCATGCCGCCATGTTATCAGTGATTTTGAGACGCCTGCCGGATGTAAGATTAAAGTAACAGGATTTACTGCGTTTGTCGAGAACGGTGATTGGCCGGCGCATGTTTATGAAGCAGGATTTGAATTAGAAGGAGTAGCCTTTTCACATAACCTTATAGCTGGAGTTGACGGTTATGGTTTCTTTGTAAGTAGCAGTCCATTCATTACACGGGGTTCAGGTTGGCTCAGTCGTCGTTACCTTTGACGAAATATTGAGCTGGCCTTATCATTTAGCACTAACCGTATAGTACAGATAATATAAGACATTTTATTTTAAAGATACATTATGTAAGATTTAAATGAAAGGATGGCCGTTCCTGCTGTAAGTTAAAAATAGGCAATGAAGAAGGAATATATTTAAAATTTCAGTAAAATAACTTGACCCAGTTATAAGACTTCGAAGTGTTAACAATGTAGTCTCTATTGTCAAATACTAATATTACGATAATAAACGAATTCTCGATAATCCACTGTAGTCTCTATTGTCAAATACTAATATTACGATAATAAACGAATTCTCGATTATCAACTGTAGTCTCTATTGTCAAATACTAATATTACGATAATAAACGAATTCTCGATTATCCACTGTAGTCTCTATTGTCAAATACTAATATTACGATAATAAACGAATTCTCGATTATCCACTGTAGTCTCTATTGTCAAATACTAATATTACGATAATAAACGAATTCTCGATTATCCACTGTAGTCTCTATTGTCAAATACTAATATTACGATAATAAATGAAGTCTCGATTATCCACTGTAGTCTCTATTGTCAAATACTAATATTACGATAATAAACGAAGTCTCGATTATCCACTTTAGATGGCGATTAAATTATTAGATCGCGATCAGGTTTCAATCTATTGAAAATCGCGGCCATGCGATGATCTAGAGAGTTGATTATGTGTTTGTCATGTGTATGAATGTTTACTAATAATATATATATCATTTTAAGCCAGAAAAACGACGGGCAATACATAGCTCTTACATAATCCATCATTAATTGCTGGGTATATTTGTAATTATATTGGGCTTAGCCTCGATCATCATTTCTAAAGTCGGTACGATAAAAAAAATAGTCTAGATTATCCACCTTTTGATTTAATAATGAATGTGCGTTGAGCGTTGAGCAGCAGATCAGACTGTTATCAAGTAAATATCGCAGGCTAGCGATGGCATCGAGAGTTGATTATTGTCTGGATAAGTTAATTAATGCCTAATTTATAGTTTATATAACGTTTCAGGCCTGCAATAATGTATGTTTAATTAATGTCTAATTAATAATTTAGATACCATTTCAGGCCTAAAGAAGGATCTGCTGCAATAGATAGATTTAGCTCTTACATAATACACCTTTAATTGCTGGGTATATTTTTAATTATAGAGCAAGAGTGTCGTGCGACAAAGGGGAGTGTTGCGAAATAACGTTCAGACTGTGGACATGTTGACCGAACCAGATAATAGTGGTTTCTACGACATGTTCATACCACAATGTGAAGTAAAGGCCTCGTATAGACCGATTGATTCAGCTATCAACGTCATCGCTCCAGTAGGAACAGTTTTTAATGGCGGTGTTTGTGGCGTCACTAATGACAGTATCAGTAATGTTCGCACTCATGCGGCAGCTTTAGGTCTGAATATCGACCAATATTCGATTTACACCTTCGCTGAACAAATGGATAAGGAATATGAGTGAGTAATATTTTATAGATTTTAATATTAAATATGCATTCTGTTCGAGACAGGTGTTTATTTGTCTTTCATGTACAGAAATAAAAACATGGAATGGAATGAGGTTTAATGTCCTACTTTTATGCACCAACTGGTTTAATCATAAACCATAAAAACTCAAAATTTATATATCTTGCCAAGGAAAGATTTCCGGTTATTCAGATGGTATGGAAAATAAAAACAAGGTCCGGTGTACAGCCTACTATTGGCAGCACATGAACGATCATCACACCTAACAGTTAGAAATCAAGACACATGAAAGAACAGACCATAGCTTTTAGCTAGCACCCCTGACAGGACACAATCACATTGATCAGCAGTGAATATTCGCTAGCACGCTACAATTACTGATGACATCGATGAGACTTAATGAGCCACAAATATTAACTTTTTTCCTCCGACAAATTAAATTCTAAAACATTTGTTTTTTATGTATTAGAAAAAATAAAGATGTTTGAAGTATTTGTAGGTAAGAAGTATTTCCTACCCCTACACGCAATCAGGCGACGGACGGTATCTGGTCAGATCTATTTATCTCGACGATCGGTGTCTGACTGAATACTGTCAGACAGCATTTCCGGCAGTCTATTTTTCAATTTTTCTGGGGGAGGTTTCCCATACCCTCCGTAAGGACTCCCTACATTGACGCTCGTAAGTTGGCTTCGTCGATGTTCGCAAGTCCGTTCGTTTGACACTTTTACTCAACGATCACTGCCTGAAATACTGCCAGACCGCATTTGCGGCAACCTGTTTTTCACAATTTTCTGGCGCCCCCCCCCCCCTTACCCCTGGACTTTGCCCCTCCAACCACCGACGGTTGGCGCCACCACTGATAGGTGTTACCGCCAGCTCTTCGATGAATCCCAACAGTCAATGGTTTGTTTACGTGCACGCCGATGTGTACACTGAACCTATGGTTTTCGTACAGTACGAACGACTAGAGGCTGTTCTTTGTCAGCCCACCCGTACCTGCACCATTAACAAGACGAATCCACGCTGGAAAGTCCCAAGGAACTGTTAACATTCCTAGTTCAACCATGTCTATAAATAAAGAAATCAAACGTCTCTTTCATGGCCATTAAAGATAAGGTGGTGGTGGGGGGGGGGGGGAGTGGGGGTAACGCGTGTGCTTTAGGTTATAAGGTCTGTCATTGAGCCAATTGCCGTGGTTTCGATTCCCCAATCTCTTGGGTTTTCCCCGGGTCCTCCGACTTTCCTCCGCTACTAAAGACCCCTACACGCAATGACGTTACTGAATTATAATTAAAACTTATGTTAGTCCCGAAATGACCTAGTTTGTGACGAATGGACTGACTTACGGGGGACCAGGAGAAAACACACTACTAGGCTGGACAAGCGACCTACTCCTTGTAACGTACCAGCGGGGAGTCGAAACCACGGTACTTGGCTCAATGACAGATCTGCCCCCCCCCCCCCACAATAAAATTACAACCATCAATATTATTTTCCAGGTTTGACCAGTCATGTATAGATTTTTCGTCAGTTATGAAAAGCTGCTCAACGATTTATAAAGTTAATGCTGTCAGATTCTGTGGGTCGCCATTTTACAATCAGTTATTTGGAGAAACACTGATGAAGTACATGCAAAAGAAAGATATCTTCACATTGATGAACAGTTGTTTGAACGATTTTTGTAGTACTGGTAAATCGATCGCCACATGTTCGGCCTTCAAGAGAGCTTTTGATGAATTCCCACAACCCACAGGTCTGGAAGAAATTCAGCCATTTTGTTGACCTTTGTGTCAATTTTACTGAGGGTTGAAGATAGGTTTGTTCCCCAAATTCAGATGTTAACTGAATAAAAATATTGTTTATAAAAGAAAACAAATCTTCTTTTTAGTTTCACAACCAATGAACAGCAATTCTTTCTTTTAATTTAAAGTATTCTCTGTTATCCAGAAAAATATTTTACCAATATTAGTCTGGATGCGTTGTCAACATTTGAAGAATAATAGGTCATCGGTTAGATTGTCCGGTCTTTTACATTATCGTAGACAAAGTCTAAGGGAGGTAACTAGTCCTAAAACAAGATGTTGACGCCCATGAAATTAATTTAAGAATGTCATTTCATAAAATCCATTTGATTGCATTGTCAGTTCAATATCCAACACTCCTATTTTATTCTATTGTCAAATTTCTCTCTTCATGAGTCATCATATGTTTTTAAATTAACCCTAATTCGTTGTCAAAATTCATGTTTATTTATATTAATGCAAGAATTGTGGGATTTATTGCGGAGAAGGGCACAAGTCGTAATCAACTTTTTCAAAGTTACTGGATAATCAACCATATTAAAAACCAAACTTTCGGTTAATCATGGGCAGAATAAGATGAAAATATATCCAAATTACCAATTACAACGGGGGGGGGGGGGGTGTTATCATGTGCAAATTTACTTAATTGATGCCTTGAGCTTAATAACAAATATTCTGTTTTATCATCATTCAATTTTAGAAAGTTCTTTGACATCCATTTTCTAATTTCACTAAAATAGTTCTCGGGTTCTAATTTTGATAAATTGAAAGAAGATGGGCAATCAGGTGTAAATGAAATATATAATTGAGTATCATCGGCATACAAATGAAAGCTGAGCCCATATTGTCTGACAATAACACCTAATGGTGACGCATAAAGGGTAAATAAAAACGGACCCAGAACAGAACCTTGAGGAGCCCCAAATGACAAACCAGATTCAGACGACGATTTACAATTAACTAAAATACACTGTTTTCTACCCACAAGATAGATTTCTAAAAGATTTAATACAGAGCCACAAATAACGAATTTAAAATGAAGTCTACGTAGAAGAATAGAAGGATTATCCAAAGCAGCAGATAAATCTAATAAAATTAAAAATGTACATTTTCTATTATCAATTCACATTAAAATATCATTTGAAACCCGGACTAAAGCTGTTTCGGTACTGTTAAATTGTTTATAAGCACTTTGAAATGGTTCATACTAACAGTTATCATATAGATGGGCCCTTATCTGAGAAGCAATACATTTCTCTAATATTTTAGAAATAAAACCTAAGTTAGGTCTGTAATTTTTAAAAACATTAGGATCCAGTGTAGATTTTTTAATTAAAGGGGTAACATAAGTTTGTTTGAAAACGTTGCGAATATTAGAAGATGATATACAAGAATTAATAATATTGGTATAAACTGGAATAACTTCGACTAGACAGTCCTTAAGAACAGGAGTCGGAACAGGATCTAATGAACAAGATTTGGGAGCAGACGATTTAATAAGCTTTAAAACAAAAGATTCACTAACCAAGTTGGAATTTCCTAAATAGACAGAATTTTCTAACTTATCAAAATCATGAGCGTTAAAGACAATAGTTTTATTTAAATCATCAAGTTCAGTTTGTATTTTCTGTATTTTTATTTGAATGAAATCTGAGAATCAATTCGCGAGTTCAGTGTCATTATCATTAACCGGGAGAATAGTACGCTCAGCATTATGATCCAAAAGGGAATTCACAAGTTTATACAGGTCTTTTTGTCTGTTTTCACCATTTTCTATGTTAGTAAAATTTTATTTTATCGTTTTCAATTAATTATTTCACACCGTTTTTTTTTAAAGATTTATTAATCTGTAGATGTTCAGCCTTAATACGGTACCATTTGGCTTCTAAAATAGAATCATTAAACCGTTGCGTATTGGGACGAATAGTAAATTTTTCGTTTTAAGAGGCGCAAGTGAATCCAAAATTTCAGCAAGCTTAAAGTGATATTGATGAACGCGTCAATGATTAACGCGTGCGCTTTTGACCATGGGGTATGTCATTGAGTCAAGTGGTGTGGTTTCGATTCCCCGGGTGTACATGACAAGAAGTAGGATCGCCTGTCCAACCTCGTGGGGCTTTCTCCGGGTACCCAGGTTTCCTACCAGAGAGAGAGAGAGAGAGAGAGAGAGAGAGAGAAAGAAATGGGATTTAACGTCCACTCGACACAAACTAGGTCATTTCGGGACTAACATACGGTTTAATTTTATTTCAATAATTCGCTTGCGCGTAGGGGTCTTTAGCAGTGGGAGGAAACCGGAGGACCCGGAGAAAACCCACGAGGTTGGCCAGGCAGTTTCCTACCAAGATTCCAACGCGCAAGCGAATGATTGAAATAAAATTGAACCATATGACCGAAATGACCAAGTTTGTTTCGAGTTGACGTTAAACCCCATCTCTCTCTCTCTCTCTCTCTCTCTCTCTCTCTCCATCTCCCCCACCCCCATCTCTCTCTCTCTCTCTCTCTCTCTCTCTCTCTCCCTGTACCCTCCAGGATAATGAAATGACCTAGTTTGTGCCAAGTGGACGTTAAAACCCATTTCTCTTTCTCTCTTTTCCGTAACTGGAAAAAAGAATGTGAAGCAAGATTATTAATCAATTCTGAACTGTAATAAAACTGGGTCCGTTTAAAACTCCATATCGTCCAAAGTGTTTAACATTGAAAACACGAATTATTTTTCAATTTAAATCATCATTGGTGTTATGATCTTACCGGGAAAAAGATGGGCTTCTGATATCCAATATGTAAGACAAAATAAACATTTTACCATTGGTACACGAACATAATGCATATCAGCGTCAATTGTAACAAGGGGCTCGAAGAACGAGCCTAGACATACTTCACAGGTCATGTCAAACGGTGTCGCCATATTCTTATCCGGGGAGCATGCGCAATTAATACTATCGGTGTAGACTTGGAATAACCAGACGCTAGAGAGTGCTATTCGATTGAGACTTCTGGCGTATTTCGCCGCACACAACTGATTTCAAATTAGATTAAAAACAGAAATGATTGATTGTAAATCTGTTTATATACATTCATATTACATACATTTAATCAACAGGGCCCAGTATCTTCCCAACATTACCCATCATCCATACTTTAGTTTTTATCCGCCACAAACAAACCAACTTTCTCCGCCAGCCGTCGACACTTCAGTTTCACTTCCTCTTGCACCAGATGAAAACACATCGCCATGATGGCCATGCCGAACAGGAGATAAACGGAGCATATGATATTCTTCTCTTGTGACCGCCAGGAATCAAGACTGGTTCCTGGCACGATATCACCGAATCCAATGGTACTTAGGGTAATAAAACAGAAATACGAACCAATCAAATAATCCCAATCTTTCTCCCACAAACCAAACATAATGGCACCACCAACAATATAACCCGTTAACATCAGAAAGGTCAAGGTCAGTGGTACACGCACTTCCTGGTCCGAGCTTCCTTCCGGTACGTCATTCATGTCGGTCAGTGACGCAAACGATTTTAATTCAGCTATATCTAATGTTTGTTGACTCGGACTCGGAGACGGAGTCGGTGATCGGGATTCACACTCGGTATCGTTCGGTTCATTGTCATCCTCAACTTCCTCTATAACAATTTGCGGACGTCCTTCCAGTAACTTTATGTTAAGTCCCCTTCTGGCGGCCATTAACTTTAAATATTTGAGCCGTCTTGAGTTATACATTCGTCTACGACATTTTTTATATTGTTCTACGACTTTGATGCACGTGCATTTGTAAATTAGACGAACACAGCTACTCAATAGAGATCCGATGTTTCTCAGACAAAGCAGCGTCAATGGTATACCCAGCATAGCGTATACTATAGTCACCAATCGTCCCCATCCTGTTTTAGGTGCTATATGGCCATAACCTGCAATAGAATTGAAATGAAATGGAATTTAAAGTTCTACTGTTCTGCTTCTACTGGGCTACTCAAGACGGGCAATCGCCATTCAGTGGGCTATGTGGGAATTGTTGCCAGCACACGACGCAACGACATACTCTTATATCGAAATCGAACTGCTAAGGGTTCTTTTACGTACACGCTAACGTGTACAGGAGACTTCGATTTTTCGTCGTCCCATACGCTGTCCTTGCCGTACCATTTGAGCCTACAACATATATAATCAAATTATTTACCCGGGCGTGGTTTCGATTCCCTTTTGTATGTCCTCCGATTTCCTCCCACTGCTGAAGACTCCTACGCGCAATCGAATTATTGAAATAGATATATTGAACCATGTGTTAGTCCAGATGTTTTCATCCCATACGATGTCCTTGCCATTCCATTTAAACCTACAGCGATTATAATCAAATTAGATACCCAAACGGGACTGGATGGCCGAATAGCTAACGCGTGCTCTTTGGACCATAGGGTCTGTCCTTGGGTCAAATGGCGTGGTTTCGGTTCTCCGCTTATATGTCCCCCGGTTTCCTTCCACTGCTGAAAATACCTCTACGCGCAATCGAATTATTGAAATAAATGTTGAACCATGTGTTAGCCTCGGAGTGACGTGGTTTGTGTTGTGTGTATGGGTGTTTGGGTGTGTGTGTGTTTGTGTCTCCCCACCCCCTCTCTCCTCTCTCTCTCTCTCTCTCTCTCTCTCTCTCCCGTATAAACTATATACAAACCTAGAGCGGTTTTAGCTGTAACAAAAATAAAATGAAATGAAATGGGGTTTAACGTTCTACTGTTTTGCTCCTAAACTGGGCTAATGAAGATGGGCATACGCCATACAGCAGCGCTACGGCCTACTCTTATATCGAATTCCAACTGCCAAGGGATCTTTTCCGTGCACGCCAATGTGTACACGGGACCTCGGTTTTTCGTCCCATCCGAACGACTAGGCAGCTGTCCTTGTCAGGCCCTCCGCCTAGCATCAGTGACAAGGGGGAACCACGCCGGAAAATCTGGATGAATTTTCTCGGCTAATGCAGGGATCGAACACCCGACCTCTGTAACAGTATATATAGTCAGTAACAGCATTAATGATTAGATTAAATACAAACCTATGGTTGTAATAACCGTAACAGCATATAGTAAAGCACCAGCAAACGACCACTTGGATTCGTCACCAACACCCATGCCATCCCATCCAGATTCTTTTGTCAATCGGTACATCTGTTCCTGGAAATCAAGTAACATCACTTCCGCTTTCGTTGACCAATCGGGTTTATTTGTAGATACATCCACGTCATCTGCTAGTTGAAGGAATCGTTTGGTTAATTCGTCTCTAGCCTTTAGGGCTTGCAGTCTCTGGTCATTTTCAAACGGTGCTTCTAAATTCATGAATATAATTCCTCCCAGCATTCCATAGGCAGCCACAGCCACGGTCAAACCGACGTGGGACAAAATGAAAGTTAGAAATCGTTTTATTCCGCGAACACATAACTTTTTGACGTGGTGCAGTCTCTCCATTGTATGTTCACCCAACGGCATGATAATAGTTATAAATATTTTCTGAAAAAAGGAGTCATTTTAAAAATAGTATATGGATAGTTGGGAAGGAAAGAATTCTCAGCGCCTGGAGAAGTCTATAAATCTATATAGCTGTAGGGATAACAAAAATAGGTGAGACCCCAAACGTTATGATTAAATTACCTCTGTCTTTATAATATAACGTCTGTTTGTTCTGCGGGGATTAGTTCATGATCTGGAGCCACGGTGGCCAAGTGGGTAACAAGTGCTAGAGGTCGCGTGTTCCATCCCTGCATTGGCCGAGAAAGTCCATCCAGATTTACCGACGTGGTCTGGTCGTTCGGATGGGACGACGAAAAACCGAGGCCCTGTGTACACATTGGTGTGAGGGTAAAAGATCCCTTGGCAGTTGGAATTCGGACTAGGCCATAGTGCCGCTGCCCGGGCACACTTTCCCTCATAGCACACTGCATGGCGTATACTATCTTCCTGATATTATGTCTACGACATCTGTTACCACTGTTCATTATTTTGTCTAATGGTTTGGATTGTTCGTACTTGGTTTCATAGCATTTCATTTCAAATTCAGTTAAGTGAATTTAGACTTATTACTCCTGCAGTGCGACGGGGGCGTCACCAAAGTCTTCCTCAAATTCCGATGTGATGTTTTTTTTTCAATTAATTCACTTAGCTTGAAACTGACCCTTTTTTCTCGACAGTTTCCATCTCATTAAAATCAGATGTTTTTAAATTCGTTTTTCGTTTTCTTTTATTTTATATTCCCCATTTATATTTTACCAGACATAACTTTACTTAAAATTAATGAACTTTATCGCTGTGTCGGGATCTTACCCGTAAACAGCCAATAGAGACTTTTGGCAAGTGGAATTTTTCCCACCAGTATCGTGTATACGTATCGTCACGTGATACGTTGCGTCAACGTAGTTTTTGGAGTTTTGGCAGATTTTCGCACCGCCTACGTATTGGTAGCTGAGTTGAGCTTAGTTCTGTTACAGTATGCTACCAGTTATCTACTAAGATCAACATCAGTACTAGTCAAGTACCTAGCCTACAAATTCCTGGGGGGAATAAAGTCGCTCGACAGTCGCTCAGCTATTTAAAATTTAGTGTCGAATCTTATTAAAAATATTCGACTTTGGACAGCAATTTTTGGTTTTACGAATGTATCATTTCAGAAAGTATATCCACCTTTTACAGATTTGAAATGTCCCATTTCCCCAAATTTAGCAAGTAGATGAAACAGCTTACGTAGTACAGACAGTCAGGAAAAATATGGAAATATCGCAAAAAGTTCACCAAATATAACGATTAATTTCCAGTCTTTATCTCCAGTAGCACAAAATGTGGTAAAATGACAACGATATTATACGGACCTTTTGCGTATGAAAACTGTTCGATACGTGCTACCGTCTTCGTGTGCCGTATCGCGTATGAGAAATGCACACGCATTGATGACGTCACACACAAAATCGATACGGATACGCGATACGGACCATAATAGAGACTTTTGGCAAGCGCAATTTCCTGGTCCGTATCGCGTATCCGTATGGATTTTGCGTGTGACGTCATCAATGTCTGTGTATTTTTCATACGTGATACAGCACACGGATACGGCAGCACGTATGGAACGGCTTTCATACGGAAATGGTCCGTATAACACTGTCGTCTTTTTACCGTCTTTTTTGCTACTTTTAGACGCTGAAATGTTGCATCATATCGTTTTTATGAATCTATGTGTATCCTAGAACACGAAGGTGTATATTTGATGTGATTTTAACAGTGATAACGACTGGAATTTAATCATTATTTTTGATGGGTTTTTCTCGGAATTTATATATTTTTCCCGCCTGTCTGCATACTGGTTGATCTACGGGCTAAACTTTCTGAAATGATACATTAGTGAAACCAAAAATTGCTAAAATCTGCCAAAACTCTAAAACTACATTGACGCAACGTATCACGTATACGATACGGATACGGGATACGGATGGAAAAAATCCGCTTGCCAAAAGTCTCTAATGTGTTATCTATTCTTACCTGTGCACTGTAAAAGGCCAATGAACGCCTACGCCCCCCCCCCCCACACACACACACACACTCATAAACTCGTTAAAGTATTGCGCATAACACAGCCAACCGTCGGGACAACAACCACCCGGAATAAATGTTAGATAAAAATTCAAAGCTAATCAAAGTTAAAAAATAAACACCTAAATACAAGAAATATACAAATAAATTAAATTCAAACTTACCTGTTTCTGTAGGTATATTTTTCTAAATGAGAAATAAATTGATATCATAAAACTTCTTACTGAACCATATGATTAAATACCCATCTATTTTAGTTTCGTATCTATATTTATATCCAACGTGTTTAGTTTCGTATCTGCGACTCCATTGTTTACTACACCCCGTATCTAAATTACCAGTATTCTAATCTAATTATTGCGCTGTTTAATCTTTTAAACAATCCGTTTTATGTCCCGTAAAAGTCATAGAGATAAACAGAAGTCAGTAACAAGGAAAGGGGGGCAATAAATATGAGAAGCTTATCGTGGTATTCTGATTAGTAGAGGCACAATAAACATGCTATTCCTTTAAAGGCACGGTCCCAGACTTTACATTTAGTGGTGGGTGTCGTGCACGTCGCAGGGTATGTTTGATATTCTAATCAATACAGTGAAACAAACAGGTTCTCCCTTAAAAGGCTCGATCCTGGATCTACCAATTAGTGATGGGTGTTGTGTACGTGGCAGTGCATGTCACTTATAACACAAACATTTTTCTCTTGAAAGGCACAGTCCTGTATATACTATTGAGTGATGGGCGTATGCATGTACCTTATAAACAAAACGCGTTGTTCCGTTAAAGGCGCGGTCCCACATATCACATGTGAAATGGTGTGTTGCTTATCTGACTGCGGAACTTCAGTATTCTGATTTACGTTGTAAAAGATGACGGTTCTTTAATGGCACAGTCTCAGATTACACATACATGGGCGTGGTTTCGAGCCTACACGTAATAGATCCGCTGTCATACGAAATGTGATTAGGCCACGTCAGGGCAAAATTTGTACCCATACCAATGTAAGTGCCGAATGAAATGAAATGAAATGGAGTTTAAAGTCCTACTGTTCTGCTCCGACTGGGCTAATGAAGACGGGTTAACGCCATACAGCGTGCTATGACGGAAGGCACTGTGGTCTAATGTTATATTGAATAAGATTAGGCCGTAACGCCGCTGTCCAGGCAAAATTTTCCTCATAGCACACTGCATGGCGTATGCGGGTCTTCATTATCCCAGTAGGTTCAGAACAGTAGGACGTTAAACCCCATTTCATTTCATATCTCAAGGTTGTTTGATAGAGATTGGTGGTTGTGGCTGTAACTAGTATGAGATAAATCGTGCATGTTCGCGGCCTTACACTCTAGGAAACTACACATTGAACAATCAAATTTAAACTTCATACGTTTATAATAAAAATTGTAACATAATGAATATTGGATACAGACGATTATAGATCCAATAGGTACGAGTTAAATCTGCATATCTTCGGTCTTTATCTATTAATTTATTAGTTTATTATGAAAGAGGGTGTGGGGGGTGGATGGCCGAATGGTTAGCGCATGTGCGTTGTATCATAATGTCTGTCATTGAGTCAATTGGTTTCGATTTCCCGGCTGTACTTGACAAGGGTAGTTTTATTGAAATAAAACTGAACCATATGCTAGTCTCGAAATGACATGACTTAGTTTCTGTCGAGTGAATGTTAAACCCCATCCCCCTCTCTCTCTCTCTCTCTCTCTCTCTTATGGACATGACAAGTCCATAATCAACTGTCTAGGTCATTGGATGGCTGGGATATTAAATAGATTAGAACATAACGTATCTTTCAATCTTTAAAGATACGCCCCCGTGTACAAACTTGGTGATTTGATTACGTATTTGGACAAAAACATTTTCAAACTAATTAACCTATCAAAATTTTGCTTCAAATCCTTCTCAAAAGATTTGTTGAAATGATTTCTATGTTAATGTTTTGTTATCACATGTAAAGGTTGCATGAATATATATATATATATTAAAAAGTTCCCTCCAAATTCCCATCATGCTAAGCAACGTAGAATTCCTTAGCATTTTTTTTAAGTACTCTTGAAAACTTTGTAGAATTTGTAAGAATTAATGAATAGAATAGAGTCGAAAATATCACCATTAGTTGTAAGTAGATTTAGAGAATCATTTGTAGATCTTTTAAAACATTATGTATTTTCATTTAGTTTTTCGTTAACAATGTTAATTAATAAATGGGTCGTATTTGGTTGCTCTAATTGCTCATTGTCTCTATGGTATCTTTTTTTTTTTGGGGGGGGGGGGGCCTGCCATAACGTAATTTGAGCTTACTTGGAGACAGGAATTTTATTGAAGGGAGACAACTACATTTAACGCCCATACAGGATAACGACCACCATTAATTTCCCCATTGACTTCAATGTTAATTCTGGCCTCTTTGCCCACCTCCAACTTTTCCCCAAATTTTCGTTGGGCTGAATGCTTTTCACTACAGACAGAGGAACAAATGGTCATGTATTTGCACTAAAATTTGTATGAGGTTGACCACCAAAATTTTGAGATACACAAACTTGGAAAGCTTACTAAAAAAAACATGCAACTAATTGCCGTACATATCGCCATAGCCAACCTGATAACCCCGTTATCCTTCCGCCTCAAAATCATGAATATTTACCAAAACCTGGCAGAAAATGTTAATTCAAACCCTCTTCGTCCATCCTAGAGCAAAAAATCAACAAAAATGGGCATGCAAAAGGGGAGAAAAGAGAGAGAGAGGATTGCTA